GGAAGAAGGGTAGATACCACAATTGTTTAGCACACGTTTGGTCAAAGGATCGTCTTCATTTGTCTCTTTGACGAGTTGTTATATGGTGCTATGAATGGCGATACTCACCGACGATGACGACTACGATTCCGGCGAAACGTTTGGGAATGTACCACGTCCACGTTTCGACTATGCAAATGATCATGCAGACAATGGACTCCAGACTAGGTGCGTTCCTCTAAGTCTTCCTACCAATATGACCATGTTGCGAAAACAAGGTCAAACAATTCCAATACCAGTATAAATATATAAACCTGGATTAGTTGTCACCTGTACACTAGCGAGGAGAACCTGCTTAACGGGTTGGCAGGCTTGCATACAACGATCAGCTGCCTCGGAAAGACATTCAACCAGCAAGCCGGCTAGGCTTGCATCTGGACAGCTTTGAGAATCGAACGGAGCAAGCTGTAGCTGCTTTCGGAGTCCTGTTTGTGATTCGGGCTGCTCTGTCTTACTAAGCGTTAGATCGGACTCCAGAAGAGGTGAGTCAGTCGATGGGATAGGGTGGTCCCTTGGAGCCGAAATGACGGTTTCTGTCAATGAAAGCTTTGTCAGGATCATAGAAGCAAATTGAGAGCGACAAAGACTAGCTAGATGAACAGAGTCTGCTATAAGAGAGGCCAGTAGGATGCGGGAAGATTCAGTTAGATGAAGAGAATCCGTGTCGCTGCCACTAGCAGTCCCAGAACCCCCTTCGCGGCTTCGATCAGGACCAGCGGACATGTGGGAGAACTCAGATGACGAAGTAGAAGGAACGGAATTTTGAAACTGAGGCTGTCAAGATAAACAGAGATGGCAATAGAAGAGCGGAATACAAAATATAAAAATAGAAATATAAGAAGACATAATATTAATTAGGTTTAGGCAGTAGGCAAATTAAAGAGCTCATTTTTAAAGAGGAAAAATTTAAATTAGACATAGTGTAGCAAAGGTAAAAACAAAAATTGACATACAGCCACCTTATCACAAGCTAATCATTAATTTTACCAGCCACGGCATTTCAGGGAAGTAAGGTATGTTGATTAAAAGTGAATTTTTTAGACTCGTGAATATAACCCAATTTATAAAATTAATAAAGGTACAGACTCTATGAGGTTCGAATGAAAATGATAAGTGTAGATAGGCATGTACCAGATGGGTTAGTAAAACTGTTGAATCTGTACCAAGGCTGTTGACAAAAAAAGCGTAGCGATGTATCAGCTGGAGGGTGAGTTTCCAAAATCGATGTCGGAGACTAGACAGATATACTCCGTCCGACCAACAGAGTTGCAACTGGTTCAATAAAACCATGGTAACGGTGAGATGCACGGGGCGAGTGAATGTAATATCTTGAAAATAAAAGGGAGTATATCGTAAAAGAGGCAAAGAGAAAACGAAAAAAACTTTTAGTTTGAGCAATTCAGATAGATTGCAAACAAAGGACAAACCTTAACGTTCAACGAAAAAACACAGATGTAGGACAACCACACCTGCATTAGGGACAATATGCTAAGAGAGTGGAATGACTATAACCTTGTGAACAAAGAGTAGTATTATGCTGAACTGCCCAGTCATATTCCTTCGGAATTACCTTCGTAATGCAAAGTCTAAAGACACAATCAGCTAAGGAAAATGTAGAAACACAACTAGTTACGAGACCATTAGTCTACAATAAATGCACAAAACTTAACCTAAGTTTATCCGCTTCAATGAATGAGGCAAAAATTTATTTGGCTCCCCATCCATCAATTTGAGAATGTAAAAAATCAAGTTCCAAAATTCGCTTTGATAGAGGTCAAAAAAAGAAATAAGACAGCAAATTTGATTCCAGTAATTGTTGACCTTGTATTAGCAACTTGGTCTTATTAACAGGAAGTCCTAAAAGAACGCACCTAGTCAGTAGTTCATAGTATGCAGGATAATTTCCAGAGTCGGACTGTCAACTTGGTACATTTCCAGACGTTTCGCTGGCATCGTCAATGAGTCTTTTCATTCTCAACACCAAACTACAACTCGTCAAAGGGACAAGTGAAGTCAAACCTTTGACCAAATTTTTGCAGAAACGGTTGTTCTATTCTGAACTCTATCTATTTCCTACCCTCTTGACTCGGCCTCGGCCTATTGCACCTCTGACTTGTTTATATTCCACTCCTTAAGTGTGCCTTTTAGCGAATTTACCGTGGTGTCATCGCACCTACTGTTTGCCATTTCTCCTTCCCTTTCGAGTGGCTTATCCGACTAA